TATTAATTAAAAATAAATTTTTAATATATTCTCCAAACAAAATTTAAAAAAAAAAACAATTTATACTATACTAACCTTTATATTAAATATAAACTTATATAAAAAATAAAATTTATTATTTTATTATTTAAAATAATTTAAATTATAAAATATTTTTTAATTAAATATATTGTACACTTTTTTAAAAAATTATAATACTCATATAATAGAACTAACTAAAATATTTTTACTAAGGCAAAAACCCATGTTAAGCCCCTCACTTTTTTTGACAGCTAGTGATAAGCCCCTGAACTAAAAAGGTGGCAGATAAGCCCTCGAACCCCTCGCAAGGAGCAAATTAGCCCCTCCACTAACGGAGCTCTGTCACGCTGTTAGTGCAATAGCTTGCGTGGCATTTGACATCCAATTGGCTCCAACGTGGCTCCCACGTGGCTCCAACGTGGCTCCCACGTGGCTCCAACGTGGCTTCAGTGGATCAAGTAAATACAAATCCATAGACCCATGAAATACCCGAAAGATTTGGGGATTTACGATTCTGAAAATTTCTCTCAACTCTCTTAACATTCTCTTCCTTCGATTTCTTCCAAGTCTTTGATTCTCTGATTCTCTTTCTTAATCGACCCATCCATAACATTGAGATACCCAAAAGATTTGGGATTTTAGGGTTCTGAAAATTTCTCTCAAATCTCTTACCATTCTCTGCCTTCGATCTCTTACCCCAAAGATCAAGTTGTTGTCAATTTCTCAAGGTTGAGATTCTGGCATTTACTTTTTGTTGTGGTTTTCATTTGATCTGTTACTTTGATTGGGGTTTCCCTCTTCTTTTTTCATTTATTCTTTCTTGACTTCGCCATTGTGAGCCTGGTGTTTGAATGGATCTGGGGTTCTGCAAGTTGTTGAACTTGGATTTCAAGGAGAAAGTTTGTGGAGGAGAGACAAAATTGCATCTGTATATGTTCAAGATAATGACAACAAATTTGAATCTGATTTCTTTTATTTTCTCTTACTTTGATCTAGGTTTCCATTTTTTTTTTTCATTTGTTCTTGTGTCGCCATTGTTGGTTTGGGAACTAGATCTAGATCTAGGGTTTCTAGTTTAGTAGCCCAATTGTGACATCAGTGGAGGGGAGAGGCGATATTGATTCTTTGAGGACAAATTTGAATTGAAATTGTAAAGGAATGAGGAGAACAAATTTGCAGGGAAGATTTAATTTTATAGAGGATGGAAAGACTAACAATTTGGGTTGAAAACTGGAAAAAAAAAATTGAGGAGATTTTGTCATAACAATTAAATTTACAATTAAAAATAGAGAAGGAATCAATTAATTAATGGATTAAATAATAAAAGAATTATAATTTATGGTAAAGATTTTGTCATAATAATTAAATCTGTAATTTAATTGAAGAATAAATCAATTAATTCATAAATCAAGGAATAATAAATTTAATTAAAGCAAATAGATTGATTATATTTCAATAAAATGCCAATTTTTAAATGTATAATTTTAGTTTTCATGTTTCGCATTAAAAATTAAAGAAAGAAATTATTACCAAAAAAAAAAAAAATTAACACACTAGTGCTTAGTTGACAAAATGAACTAAAATAGTTAAAAGGAAAAATTTTAGAGATTACAAAATGTATTTATGAAATACAGAGATTAAATTTAGGTATTAACTTTCTTTGTTTAGGCTGAAGAATTTCTCTTCGCGGACTACTAATGACACGTTGCATCCAACCTGTAAATTAAATGCCACGCAAGTCATTAAAAATTTGATCTTTTAGCCCCTCCGTTAACCAGCCTCTTAACGTCGTTTGTTTAATGGCATGGTGGAGCCAATTGGATGTCAAATGCCACGCAAGCTATTGCACTAACGGCGTGACAGAGCTCTGTTAGTGGAGGGGCTAATTTGCTCCTTGCGGGGGGTTCGAGGGCTTATCTGCCACCTTTTTAGTTCAAGGGCTTATCACTAGCTGTCGAAAAAGTTGAGGGGCTTAACATGGGTTTTTGCCTTTTACTAATATATCTCAATGAAAGTCGAAAGTAGAAGAGATACACTCCGCAGAATTTTCTCAGAAATTACTGGAAGGAACAAGTATATTGGTACAGCCAGGGATGTGAACGCGGAATCAAATTTTAAAATTCTAAGTTCAAACAGTAGTGCCCAGCTTACCATGTAAGTACTACAAATTATTGAGAACTTTAATGGGACGTCCTTTTTTTATTTCACTGTCTCGCATTTTATAGGGGTGTCTAGTACATCACGTGTGTCTAACATCTTTTAACTTATACAACGTAAACAGTCAAAAGTAACCCCTATAATTGAAAAAACTGCTCTATTGCTATGTAGATGTCAGATCGGATTTCAAATCACATCCAAAATTTATTTAATGGTAACGAGGGATGCATATTGCCCCCTCTGCAAACTTCATTCAAATTTGGCTGTCTAAATCTTCAGCGTCCCACACTCAAGGACAATTATCACGTTCACAGTCGGTGAGAGCTTTAACTTTAATTATCTCTTTTTTAAAAAAAAAAAATAGGCGATAGAACTTTATTTATTTAATTTTTTCGTAAAAATTAATTAGAGATAATATTAATATCTATTAGTGAAAAAATTCAAATCATACAAAACGTGCAGATCACCTGCTGCCAAGGCAGCGTGGTCACTTGAACCACAAGGAGGTCTTCAATTATACTTTAGCACGTGAATCGTGATGAATTCCACTACATAGGTTTTTTTTCTTTCCGTCTAAGCTAAATAGCTTTCTTTGGTCCTTAAGTTTTAGGTCAAAGTATAAGTTGGTCCTCAACCTTCACTTTGTTAGTTTTGCGTTAGGACTGTGAATAAGTTACGCTACTCTAGTAAAATTTAAGTTGGACCTAACTTCACATGAGTTTAAATTTGAGTTAAAAATTCAAAATAAAAAATAAATATAATTAAATTCAAATTATAAATTAAATTCAATTCAACTTGATTCAATT